AGCGACGACTCCTTTGCTTGGTCTTCTCAAAACTTGGGTGGTTAAACTTAACCTTGAACAGTAATAACAAGCAACAAGTTCAGATTGCATATATGGGTTTACATAACAAGACTGTTTATAGCTATCGAAGTTCCTTAGGATGGGATCAAAATATTTACGTACTACGACATTTGCTAGGCAACTTGAGAAACAGTGGACATGATCCTTACTGCAGAAACATACTATAATACAAGGATAGAAATAGATATAGAATGAAATAGAAATTATTTTAGGAATAGTTGCTATATGCTCTGCTGGTAAGCTGACACGAGATTGTTACGAAAATTTTTACTGTAAATAAAGTGTCGGCGTTTTAACCTCTGCAAGCGTAGTCCCCATGTTCCCAGTTTTTCGTTCGTCAGCAGAAGTCATAACCTCAGCGATAAGAAAACACCAAAAAATGAAGGACCAAAATCTCTAGGAAGAATTTAACCACAGAAAAAAAATAAGTTCACGTGACAGGCACCAGACCAACTAGCTACAAGACTACGTGTCTTGGTCCCATTTTCTGTAGATCTACTTACTGTGACATCATGTAGACAGATTCATTTGATAAGCATTTTATTTGCACAAAACCGGATTTTTGTTCACCTTCGATAGTTTAAATGTTCATACTGACAAGAAGATAAAATACAACATAGATAAATAGCGATGCTGCCAAGTTCCTCTAACACGAGAGCTCAACTCAACAGCTTTTCGTATATTATTGAAATCAGTGGGAACTTTCGCAGGTAACCGCTTCATAACCAGATCAATAATGAAGTTAAAATTAACAAACAGTTGGAAAATCTGGAAACTGCGCTATTATTGTACTAAATACACTAAACATTTTTGTCCCTTGAAAAACAAGAAACAAAACAAGTGAAAATTAGCTTGCTTGAAACCCTTAACTCGCAACTCCACCTGTTTTGAGATTATGGAATAACTTCATAGCTATTTAATGAAGTCCTGAAACTGATGAGAATACTAGCGTTGCTCTACGCTCAAGATATTTAACATATACAATTTTGCGATCTATATATATATATATATATATATATATCTTTGAACTCATATATATATATATATATCAAGTCGTATTAGACTTTTTAAATTAAATTCGATGCCACTAACATCTGCAGGCCCTTGCCATTCAACCTTTTTGTTCTTCCGAAATAAATTCCCACAAATTACTTAGACCATAACCCTAGACCGCAGGTGAATGGGTTTTGAATCGAACCCGCGATTATCTTTTCCGGAGCTAATGTGCTTACCACCACACCATTTCGGTTCTTCGTTTCACCTTTTTCTCAGCTCGACGACTACAGCCTCGACTTAGATGAGTGCAATTCCGATTTGTGCTCGCCAAATCAATTCCATTTACTGGTAATTGGTGATGGCAGTGTTAAATAGGAAACTAGCTGAGAGAAAGACAAAGCAAAGCCCTCAGTGGTGCAGTGTGTAAAACGTTAGCTCCTGGAAACGGTAATAACAAGCTCAATCCCCACCGCCAACGCCTGTAGTCCGAACTTTTGCAAATAGCTCATCAACATTGTGGTCACATACCACCTAATATCGTGCCGTAAAAATTGTGATAGACAGTATGAAAAGTTAACATTTAAACTCCTGCCTTACTCAGTCGACGAAACCTACTACTTTCGGCCTCTTTTTTCGTCGAGTCTTCATTTGGAACAATCATGCAATAAAGCTCGAAGTTAGTTTTTCGACGACTTACAACTATTTCTCGATCAGTAGAGTATTTGAAGAGCTGGTAATTTCAAAGCTTTATAGAGGACATATTTTCCAACAACCGCAAGCGTATTATTTTTTGCAATGCGCACTATAAATTTTAAACATCTTGGTAATTGCCGTTTGTCCAGTTGTTTTATAGTGAAGCCTAAAAAATTAGAATTCCCTCTTAGTAGTCTAATGCCTCATAGGCAAAGATTCACCGATCTAATTGGTTTCATTCTAGTTAAGAAAGTTTAATATCAGATGAGATATGCCGGTCGAACGTTAAAAGTAGAAAATTTTCTCGCACCTAACGCATGGTACTCAATGCATCACGGACGTTGTTTTAAACAATCATGAGTTCTGAATGCACCGTGAATGTGTACAACTCCCGGTTGAAAACTTTTTGGTAAAATTTAAAAAACTAGTATGGCCTTGTGTTAAAACAAAGAAGAAAAAAGAATAAAGAAGAAAGAAGAATGAGAAAAAGAATCCAAACGAAGATGTCAAGAAAATGTCGAATTTTATTATTCTTTCCGTGAAATCATTAATAGTTATAAAAAAATCTACAAACTGATAGAAAACATATATACGAAAGCTCCCTAGAAATTCACGTCTTTGTTCGAATCTTAAAAAACAAGACGAAGACAAATAACAGTGATAAATAGAAAAGTGAAGTCGCTTAGATAGATAGATACGTCAAGTCAGATCGCAAAAGGAAACTTTGGATCGGAACTATCATACCTATGAAGTAAAGCCAGAATTCAAAGAAGAAATTCTGATTGGATTGGAACTAGCATTGGAAATAGCTGCAATTTTGAACAATCAAAGTATTTTGAAGATGTTTTGATATACTAGAGAGCTAAAACGAGGTTATTAGAAGTTTTCGTTGCAAGTGATGTTTCTGCATTATTGTCTTCTAGAGAGATTGATGAGGGAGGTAATAATGAGGTCAGCTCCTTACAAAAGTAAGAATGAGTGAGTCTATGATGAGTCAGTTCATTACAGCAGTAATAATGAGAGAGTTCATGATGAGTTAAGTTCATTATAGCGATAAGAATCGTTCTCAATAAAAGGACAGTGGTAGGTAACTGCCCTCTACACGATTTACTCGATGCGAAAACCACGAAGATCCACATCGCAAGGAAAGAAACTACATATGCTGGACTCGAATTACATGGTTCTAAAGGAAGAATACTTCGCAACAATCAACATTTCCAACCACCTGCTCTTTACCACATCAGTAAAACAAAATGTTTACCTATGTAGAGCTTGAAAGGAAGGGGGTATTGAAAGTTCTACAATTAGTAAGGTTTCATACTGCTCTCTGATTAGCAAAAACCAAACGAACATATTAAAAGTACGTGTGTAAGACTAGAATTCAATTCTTAGTGGCTACGAACACAATGAAATGAAATGAAAGTTTAATCGTGAAGAAGAAAACCCTCTTCATCATGTACAGAGTTTCATAAGTGAGCAACGGAATAGACATGGTCTAATTCACAAGTCGATGAATTTTCTCTATTTCAAAGTACACGGCAGATACAAAGATCGTACTTCTTGCTGCTGTTTGGTGTTTTACTTACATCTACAGTATACACACCACTCATTCCAGGGAAAGCAGTTAATCTCGACCTTTTTATTTATTGCCTATTCTTTTTAATGGCAGGGTACGTTGCGAAATATAACTCGCATAATGCTGAGATATTTGCAAAACTCCGGACCGCAGGTGTCTGCGGTGGGAACGAACGCGCTATTGTCCTTACCGGGGAGTAACGTGTTCACTATCGCACCATGCGGGTCCTTCGTTTCGCCTGTCTCTCAGCTAGTTCTAGTGATCTTTTGCCATCAGCAATCACCCGTCAACGGGATTACTCTGGGAAGCCCAAATCGGCGTTGAGCCCAGTTGAGCTACGGCTATAGTTATAATCACAGTCTTAACCTTTTTATCCCGTCGACGGGTGATTGCTGATGGCAAAAGATCGATAGAACTAGCTCAGAGACAGGCGAAACGAAAGACCCGCATGGTGCGATGGTGAACGCGTTACTCGCCGGAAAGGACGATAGCGCATTCGTTCCCCACCGCAGACACCTGCGGTCCGGAGTTTTGCAAATATCTCAGCATTACAGTAGTTATATTTCGCAGAGCAGTTAATGATCACATCTAACAGAAACTATGACAGTAGCCTTATTAGCTCTAATTTTATGCCGATACCTCATAAAGAATTAGCAACTACCAACGACACCGTCGGTACATTGTTTTCTACAGTAAGGATTAAGGCATTCCAAGAGATTATTTGTCATCATAATCGGTATATAATTATTATTTATACCCGAAATTTCTCTCATATGAATATAAACGCTTATGTGGATCGCTTTAGCAACGCTTCAGGATGAACGAACTCGTCCTTAATCACTGGGAATCGTTCGGGATATTAATTAATAGTCATTGTGTGAATCACGAACTGGACCCGATCATGAGATAAAAGCTGATCAAATCATGATATGTCTGATAGTCACCATTCTCCCTTCATCTTCATGTCCACATCGACCATCGTAGAACTCCAATCTCGATGAATCTAATCATGAATCTTCATTTGATATTTCAAGCGTTATCTCTCAATATACAGAGCCCTAAAGTATCCTGTGGCCATTTGAGGGAATTAGTCAGTGAATTTCCAAGGGAATTAACGTAGACGTTACTTCTCGCTGTAAAACGCGCCTACATTGAACCACAGATTCTTTCAGAAATTTCACCAATAATCATACCTGACAATGGTTGGATGTAATGTCGCACTATTGCTACTAATCGCTACCGTATCTAGCGAAAGTGTACACTGGCGTACGTTTTATTTAATAATTTGTTAAGAAAACATTTCGGATTAATCGATAGTACGAAAACCCGACGTTTTCAATGTTCATTTAGTTAGATAGATAAATATTATAAACATAAATATTCATTTAGTTTAAATAGAAAGTGCTCAAGTACAAAACTTAGATCGAGCTCATTATTTTCATTTGTTTGCAATAATACAGTCAATTGTACTCTTACACACTAGTATCGAATTAAGAGCAATATCCTTACGTCCTTTAATATTTCATAGTGAAATAACATAACTCAATCTAGTGAGTGATGTAAGCGGTACAATCCTTTAACACAGTAATTGCAAAATGAGCTTATATCGAATTAATAAAAGCTGACAACTGCGTAGTAATATATCGTCCAATTGGGTGTTTCAGAATGGCGTGAAATGTCCTGTACTTCGAAGGACGAAAAAGAACGAAAAGTCGCATCACCATGTCGTATATCATTGCATGAGACGGAAAACGATGAGAAATTGAGGACAGCACCCCTCGAACCTTGTTTTGAGGTAATGCGCACTTCTTCTGTATCGGTTGGGAACACTGTGTATTCTATAAGGACTACGTTATCGACAACGATTGCATTCAAAGAACATGCCAATTTTGGCTTCATTAACCGGACATTCCTTTCCCTTATTGATTAACGACTTCCTAGTGGCAATTACGAACGTCAATGGTCTTTCAGAACCAGACCATGTCATGTTAAATAAACACTACCGATTAACGAAATTATGAGTATAGTTCTAGCTTAGACATTTAGATGGCCCGCCAAATCATGTCGTGCTAGAAACAGCATTTTCTATAATCATATTGCTTTAGAACTATCATCTATAACGGTAGGCGAGTTCGCATGTAAGTTTCCCAACCTCAGTCCTGAGAGAATTTCGTGCTTCCACTAACACGTTGAATAGTGCCTGAATTCATCGTTCTCTAGCATTCCGAAGCAGCCGTACTACTGGATTCCTAATTCTTCACTAAATACTCGAAAACCCATTATAGTTAGAAAGAGCTCTGCTGCTTTGCGACTAGAATTCGTAGGAAGGTCAGAGATCCGTATGCTTAGGTGACCAGGTGATCAAGAACGTTTTAACTGACCAAATATGTACAAAGCACAACAAACGAAATCTTATGCTTACCCCTTAATGAATGGTTGGTTTCAGGAAGTGGTAGACGCTAAGCCACGTACCTACTGCAACGTTTTATGTCCAGGTGCAGACACGGTGTACCTCATCAAACGGCATCCGCAGAATCATAGGTGATTGAGCAGGAAACAATCACTGCAGATAATACGGCCTTTTGCGACAGAAAAAAAGCGTGGCAAAGAACTACAACTTTGTTGCATCTAGTATGATAATGCAGATAATCGTTACTACAGTTACTAGTGGATTTTCAAGTAGTAAATTCCGTATGAGGATCATAAGTATCTCTTTTTGTAGAAGTTGTTTCGCACACTTCACGTACAAGATTGAAAAGAGGGGAAGCGACTTCTACATGTGGAGGAACGGAAAGTGAGTATTTCTCGATCAAATCTCATTAAAACTTATCATCACAGCTACATACGTACAATGTCATAGATAATGCCACCTAATAAAATACCATGTTTACCTTAGTATACCTTAATATTAGACAACAACCGAACTTCTTAAGATATATGAATTATATATGAAACAGATTGCAACACCATCCCCAAAACTCGCGAATAATTTGAAGGTGATTTTGAACCGCACCAGATCTCACTTGTGGAACAACAGCCTTAATCAAATAACAAATGCGTTTTAATTAGACACTCAACAAATAAAACACATCTAGGAAGCGCGTTCATCTTTTCGAATTATTGTATATGGCTACTCCTATTGTGCGCCACTGCTTCTGGAGATTGAAAGAAATTTATTCCAAATGGGTGCGTGTGGCGCAGTGGTTGGAGGCGCCATTGTGACACACTCGTGGAGTCGATCCCCGCACCCATGGCCCACCAAGCCTTCCATCTCTCCGGGGTCGGTAAATTGGTACCAGACTTGTCTAGGAGGATAGCAGTAATGGCTCGATACATCGGCAAGCCACTGCGAGTCATTGTAAAGGCCAGATATGCATTCAATCACCTCTAGCGATACTTAATAAAATCGATCGAATGCATGGCGCATCCCTTAGGGATTAATCAACGCCGAGAGCTTTATCCTCTTTTATTTCAGATGTCGTTCATCCGATGTCAACTTCACCATTCGCTGTGAGTTTGCGTTTGCACGAGCCGACTTTCCTGCCGATGATGTCGTGTTCGCTAATGCACGTAAAAAAATCTTTAACAACACTTCAACAGTAAACAGACTGAAGTAAAAAATCTCCCTAATTAGTGACAATGTAGTTCTCGAATGGTTGAAACGACAAAATTTGTAGAGTCACTACTCCATAATAGACGAAGTAGCGATAACAACTGAACATGGAATGTTCAAATACTTAGGCAAGGCTATCAATGTGTTGATTTATGCTGTGAATATTTGCGTAAGACTGCTTCAGATTGCTCACAAGTGTTTGGAGCCGTTTCTAAAAAAAACCTATTAGAATTTGAGTGCATACAACTTTATAAGGTAAGGTGTGAATAGTGGCATGGATAATATGCACGTAAGTCACCAAAGTAGAGTTACCCTCGTCAAGATAAACGATGTATTCCTAACAAACTCCAGCAAACCTGTAACGTTTGCCATTGTTCGCGTCCAAAGCGTCGATGTTGGAACGAACTAACAACTAATGTCCGCGTCATCTCGTTAAGTTTCCCCTGCAACAGGAACGATATTAAGTGTAATTTTCAACTAACAATTAAAAAAAAGAACAGATCCTCACTGAAATAGCGTTCACTTGAATGGCATCAATAAGAAAATCCTCTAGCTGATCATCTGATGGAAGATCTAATTCCTCAGCAAGTTTATCAAGAAGGATAACCTAAATCAAAACAGTTACAGGCAAAAAGAAAATAAAACGTGAAGACACTCACGTTGTTGTTTTCAGCAATGCTCATTAACGTAAGAAGGCGAATTTTCTTCAACAAAACTGCTTCGTCCACCTAAAAATTGTACGCATCAGAAGGTGGAATTAAGAAAAAAAAATCACGAAACCACCTGCACTGTGACACTGACTTTGAGCTTCTCACCCACAAACTCTGGATGAGCTTTGACAAATGAGAGGTAGTCCTTCAACGTCCCAGAGATAAATAACTCCAATGCCGAATACATAAGGGGATCGGACTGAAAATGTTGCGTAGTCAAGAACTCATACTTGATCGCATATTTGATACACTCAGAAATCGTTCAACCAATATGAAACCCAAACAATCCTCGCAGGACTTGCGTACTTGTGTACACACAACAAACAAATTAACACGTGTGTGGTAGTCTCACCAACCAATATAATATTCTCTTTATAAACATCAGTATCTCCTGGTAAGCTTGCGAAACTTGCCCAGAAGACATGTCTTTTTCCCCTTGTAAAATATAAAGTTTTCAACGTAGCTTATTTCCGACCACACTTGGAAAATCAGGACAGAAAATCTATGGATTAACATTACGGAATCTATGGACATTACGCTTCCATGTGAATTCTGTGCGGTCGGTCTTCACGCGACATACTCAGTGGAAGACTCATAGAAAGCGGCTCTGAGGAAGGCGAAATCCGCCGAAACGTCAGCTTAATCGTGAACAAAGAATAATAACACCTCGCGTTTGCTCAACAAAAATACAAACAAAATCACTTGATCAATGCGAGGTTAATAGAAAGTCGGTCTATGGATTAAGTTAAAAAAGTATTAATAAAAACTGTCTCGTGAAACAAATCACAAAAATCAAACGCATTAAGATAAACAGAAGAGTTTCTCGTCGATATAACGTTGACAAATCGCATTCAATTTAGTAATTTTTAAAGGATAGACTGCTGTTTAGAAATCCGTAATATTTTATAGAATTATTGAACTAGTCAACTATGCTCGAAACTGTGGGAAGTCAGTTAGCTTCTAAACTAAAAAGTAATGTAATCTGAAGTGTTAACTGTGGAATGATCTACACTACCTTTTGTAATGCTTTCACAGCACAAAGGCGTTGCAGGTGGTCAAATGAAAACGACTTTGCATCAACAACAGCCGTTCGGACACATTCGATGGCATCCTCACGAGCTAACGCCGCATCCTCTTCAGTATACGTTCCCAGCAACATGATCATAACCTGAAATCCATACAGCTTCGAAGATCGACGCGTAATCGAGCCACATGAAGAATACCTTTGCAGCTTGGTCTGCCTTCTGATCTTCAAGCAAACCAACATGGACGAGGCGAAGGATGTCACGCTGCCCATCTACTGCTGTCCCCCACTGTTTGAATTGTTTTTGCAATGTTTCCGTTGAACAGTCCAATTCACCAATCATGTGCGCCTCAGAGCACATCGCAACCAGCGAGCGATATAACATTTCCTAATAGCAGGCTTAGATAAGAACAGAACAATACGCATTATTCAGGCAGCACATTGCCACTTAACGTTGTAAGACTTTTAGAGATGATCTTCCAGTTTATTATAACGCAACTACATCTCTTTAATTATTTGCCCGCAACCGTGGCGAGATAAGAATATGTTCCGTAATGACTGATTCCAACGTTCATCAAAGGATCCAACTTCCATGTTCAAAGGTATCGAAGCTACAAACAACTTCGAAACCTAAATCCAGTAGCTCAGATAAAAGAACATTTGTCAGAAAGAAAACACATACAAACTGTTGAACATCTCCCTAATCTATAAGCATTGAGACTATCACTGGTAATAGTTTGCTAATCCATAGGCATTGCTACCTTCTTAGGTCAGGCTAGAAACATGCTGAACTAGAGAAACAGAACTGGAATGCTAGTCTGCTAGGGTTTGACTGATTTTCTGTGAGACTGGCCTACTAATAGCCAAATAATTTGCAGAAACATTATTTGCTACTATATTACAATAACGAAACGATCTTAAACTCAACGTGTTAACGCTCACTTGAATCTTTGGATGAGCAGTAAATCCACGAAACAAGTTAGATAGAACATGAACGGCATAACCCGCCTAAAAACGAGTGTTTTAAAAAAGAAAAACGAGGTAAAAGAGATAAATATACCGAGTGGTTGTACAGAATAGGCTTACGTTGCTATTCCATCCGTTTCCTTTAAAATGAGCAGGAGTAATTGCATCACAGAAGGCCTTTACAACCTCGAAAGCACGTTCAGCAGGAACCATTACCATGAGCGAGCAAACAGAGTTCAGAATATAATCTACCTTAAAAAACTAGTTAAGGATCAACTCATTAAAATAAGACATGGACGATTTTACTAAGCTTAATAGGAAAAATAAAGTTTTGTTGATTCGAGTCCTCATTTTCCGTCCACAAATAAAGTTTCACCACCTTCTGCTTGCTCGTAATACTTAGCATTCTTAAGTGCACGTCTAGCCAAATATTTTTATGGTGAAACTTTCTTTTTACACCAATTTAGATCTATGTAACTCAAAAAGAGGCGTTTTTGACATGAACTGCATTCTAACCACGAACTGTTAACAGATTCATGACAAGGTAAGTTTTTCAACATTGCTGATTTCTTCACAGAGTATACGAAGATACAGGCTTGAATTTTTAAGTGCTACCTCAATTCTAGTTTCGTCTCGAATTCAAGCCTTGAAACTACTAATAAAATAAACGTTTCTTAAAATTTTTATTCATATCGTGATAACCAGTTACACTGAAGGTGCATTCGGATATACTATAACGGTCAAGTACACGAAATTTTGTTTATTCGAACGCATTGCTGTTCGAAACACAGGTATTGACAAAAGAAAGCGAAAAGAATGATTTCATGACTAAAGAAAACAAAATTCTATAAGAGCAGAGTAGCAAAAATTGCACGTTAAGCATTAAACTTTTCAATCAACACACTCTACCGGTTTTCATCTCAGTGAATGACGTAAAGATGAGCCCAAACCACTCACATAATTTGTACATCCGTTAATCATCAAGCGATTCGACCAGTAACAAAGTTATCTCTATCTGTCCTCGTCGCGAGCCAGAGTCACATAAAGGACAAAACTGACATCACAAATTTAGTAAGCTACCACTTTACTCTGGCGAGACGAAAGAACGTTAAGCATGCGGCGCTGGTCCGTAGTTTATTTCATTCATAGCTGAACTTTCGGTAGGAGAAATCAGACTCTTTCTCAGCTTAGGAGACCCAATAAAAAGTGTAACCCTGTCTTAAATACAGTTCTACACCCAGAAACCCGAAACTATTTCCTTGGTAAAACCAGTGAGTGGATCAGCTAAGATATTCTCGCCCAAATATGAAACAATAAATTACTCTCAACCATCGATGCGACATGTAAAGATCACAAAACCGTGAATGAATTAACGAGCACGCGTCACTGCGTAGGTTTGACAATTCTAGTGATGCTGACAACAGTTTTGCAGGTGGAGAAGCTCGGAGATGACTACCTACCCTGGATGACTACCAGTTGGAGGCATACAGTGAAGTATACTCACGCAAAACATTGCGCAACCTTGCAGAAAAATGCGTAAGCATCAACAGTATGAAGATACGAAAATCAAGCAAAACAAAAAATGGATGAGTAGCAATGAGGCTGCCAATATGATATATGTTCTCTGATTCTTTTACCTAGTAAAAATAGTGAGTTTACTAGGATGTGAAACAGGATTCTGTACAACAACCGACGTTTTGTGAAAGCTTGATAAAAGACCAAACAAAGAAATGATTTCAGACAAGATTGTAACAAAAGCAAAATATAAAGATATACTTGGTGGAGGGAGTAGTTCGAAGAAACACACTGGGTCAGGCAAAATCGTTAAAGTACAGAAGCATCGCGCGAAAATAGGCAAAATGCACCAAGGAAAGGAAAGGAATGCACCACTGAACAATTGAGAAAAAGCAATTTTGTTGCGCGTATATGTCTGACGGAATGCACCACTGAACAATTGAGAAAAAGCAATTTTGTTGCACGTATATGTCTGACCTTATATAGCATAATCCATATTGTAAAACCTGAGGAATAGCTACAAGAAAACCCACATTGCTTGGCGAACTGATGGTGTTACAAATACTTGCCACACCATAGAGAAAACTGGCAACTACATGTCGAAGAAACCATTACCTAATATTATACCTTTTTATTTTCTGCCTACTATAATTTCGCGGCAGGGTACTAAGCGAAATACAACCATAACGTTGCTGAGATATTTGCAAAACTCTGGACCGCAGGTGTCTATGGTGGGGAACGAACGCACTATTGTCCTTTCCGGGGAGTAAAGCGTTCACCACCACACCATGCGGATCCTTTGTTTCGCCTGTCTCTTAGCTATTACTATCGATCTTTGCCACAGCAATCACCCGTCAGCGGGATTGATCTGGGGCGCTCAAATCGGCATAGAACCCAGTCAAGCTGCGGCTGTAGTTGAAATCACACTGTTATACCTTTTTTATTTTCTGCCTACTATACAGGCGAAACAAAGGACCCGCATGGTGTGGTGGTGAACGCGTTACTCCCCGTAAAGGACAATAGTGCGTTCGTTCTCCACCATAGACACCTGCGGTTCAGAGTTTTGCAAATATCTCAGCAACGTTGTGGTTGTATTTCATTACCTAATAGTCTGCAGGAAGTTTTTATCCTTGAATAAGTTGCATGGGTCAAAAGCTTTGGATTTTAGAGCAATAGTAAATAAATAAACAAGCAAATAAATAAATAGACAAAATTAAATAGATGTGCATCTCGTCGGCAAAAATATGTAGATAGTAACTCCTTTCAATTTGACCAATAAAGCTTAACATGGGATATCTCTCACTGAAGTCGAGGTTATTTTTATTAAACCACTCATCTTCATGGGAGCGTGTAGTGCAGCGGTCGGGGTGCCCTGCAACACACACGGGATCGATCCCCGTGCTCAAGGTTCACCAAGCCTTCCATTCCTCCGAGGTAGTCAAATTGGTATCAGACCTGCCTGGGAGGATAGCAGCGCTGGCCCGATACATCAGTAGGCCACCGCTAGTCACTGTAAAGGCCAGATATGCATCCAATCACCTTCAAACGATGCTTAATGAAGTCGAATGCATGGCGCATCCCGCTAGGATTGATCAACGTCGAGAGTTTTATCACTTTTTACCCATCTTCACATATACCACGTGGATCCCAGCATTTCTTGCATACGATTCGTTTCCCCGTAAGCATTATCCACTAAAGTCTCCGAGCTCTTCGCATGTGGCTTCAGTTGCTGCTTTATGAATATCATTGAATTCTGGTCGACTCGAATTTCTCAGTAGTCCAGACGTAGCCGGAAAACAACGTTCCCACTTCGATAGCAGTGGGTGGTCTGTTCCCAGACATTTGTATATGTACTCATGAATTTCCTTTGAGCAATGTCGCCTTCTTCAAAGCCAGGATGTATTCTGTGTAACGCTACTCATATATTTCGGTGAACTATCTATAGTACTTATGACCATCTAATAAATAAATGAACGCCACTTTGTTTAAAAACTACTTTTGTTAGATGAGGGAGCACCCATGTGTTGTTCAGAACACACCGTGGGAACGAGTACGCCACTTTATGTTCGCACAAAAGAACATCTGTATGGTAAACTTAAAACTTGACAAAGTACTCCTTTATGTACACACAGGGCAGAAAAGCACAATCGTGATGATTTTGAAGTGACTGCCATGACTCTTGCATAGGACTCTTGAGGCGTTTTGGATAAATTTCTATAGTCTATAGATGAACTGGAAAGACAGGTCCCACACTATCACACATGACCCGGCGCCATTTTTCAAACTGAATTCTTGATCTGGATCTGGATGGGTCTCCCTCGCGAACCCACGTGAACAACACACGGATTTTCCCGTACCTAACAAAACGGTGAGCAGTTTTTAAACAAAGTGGCGTTCATTGACATGTTAATTCTTCACTAATACTGTAGATAATCCAAAACGATTATAAAGCGATTGTTACATAAAATACGTCCAAGATTTGAATACGGCTAAGTCGTCGAGACGTCATCCATCGAATCACACCTACAACAACTGATATTGACCTCTCCTCAGCTCAAAAATGGCCATTCATGAGAACATACATACATGTATCGATTAGATATGCCCAGGCTTATAGAAAGTCGGTCTTTTAGCTGTTCCGAGAGAAGTTTGGCACCACTTTCCCGAGTCAGGAGGCATGAAAGGTTTGATGAGCCCGGTGCCGGGTCGAACCAACACTGTTTTTGTGACGGCCACTACCGTTTCTACGACGCAACTTGTTCGGTCTCGCGAAAAATAAAAGGTTAAGAAAAAAACGTTGACATTACCTCGACAGGATGTGGACAAGCCCCCATCACCGGAAGTTGGGCACAAATATCCATTAAATTATCAGATACATCCGAAGGCCCTGAGACTAGATCATTACCACAGTGATTCAGATTTTCTGACATCTTACCTTGTAGATCCAATTTAGCTTTACCAACAGAGTTTAGGTACTCTCGAAGTTGTTGAAGTTGTTCTCCATCATCAACAAAAGCAAATACAGGCAGAATTTTATGATCTGCCATCTTATTTCTGCAAAATATTAACTCAAACTGTAATAGGCAAGAAGGAAAAAAAAAGTCAAAGAGTGATAAAGAGAATTAGATAATCATAACCGATGGATGAAGAAAGAGAAACAAGCAATGAAGAGTGAGATGAATCGCGACATTGGGATCTCGTTGTGAACTGGACAGTACGGGTGGTACACTAGTCCATCTTTTGCATTAGAAGTTTACCAACCCTACACACTATTAGCTCTCACAAAGTGTTTCCAGTGACCCAAACGAAGAGATTGAAGCCGAATCTGTTCGCGTTTTGTACTGGTGGTGCCTACTGATATAAAGCTGAATCAAGCGGAAGAGATGCAAGGAGAAAGTCGCGATATGTCTGAAGTACAAGGCACTGAAGTAGAGTACTCAGAAATCCAGCACAGTAGGTCGAACTATGCTAGAGAAACATGGACAACAAGAAATAAGTGATTAACCAGGCATTCCCATATTATACAGCAATACAGTTATACTAATGAAGCAGACTACTCCAACAGGAACGATAGACAATTTTATCGAAGGGATTAGAGACAGCTCTAAATATCATGGTAATGCGACAATGAATAATGTTTACTCTAGAAAGCCGTACAGAAATCTTTATTGTAGTTGAAAACAATTAACAAAAATCTGAGGAAAACCTGAAGAACGTGGAAGAACTTCGGCTTGAACACCGACTACAAACTGACTGGTTACGTTTTAAACTTGGACAGTATCAAAATCAAAAAAGAAATCAAAAAAGTGAAAATGGGAAAACAACAAAAACAGCCGTGTACTACGCATGTAAGAGTAAACAGAAAACATAATCTCAACAACCTAATCATATGCGTCTATATCCACTGCACTAAATGGAATTTCCGTTTACCCCAACATATCAGTGTGAGGTCCGACGCTTCTGGTAAGCAAATACTCTCTACGACCAATGGTTCCTCGCTGTTGAGGGTCTGAATAAGATCTTACGCAACACATCGTAGCAAAATTTCTCAGATTAACGACATGGTAGTACCTTCTCTCCATTAACCTTGAAGGCTCCCTGAACCATTAGTGCAGAACCTTTGATATTGTCACTTCTCGTGCGATCTGCTAGATCGCCCATGGTTTTCACATCATCGCGGACGACTTTTATGGTGTTACCGAAAAGATCAAGAAGCTCGGTTCGACTGAAGGATTTAACATCTGATATAGAACCTGAAACATGGCACGTAGTCCTTTTATACAATTAACGACTACAACTAAGTTCCTACAGGAATATAGACACCTTGAAAAAGGGCACGAGAACACCGCTCAGCAATATTTAAGCCCTTTTCTCCGTGTACTATTTTTGTTAATTCCTTGGCTAAAGCATCTTGTACGATCCATTTTCCCAAATTTGAACGATGTTCTTCAATCTTCGCCAAAACATATTCCCATTGATTCAAGCTAAAAATATGGGTGAAAACTTCGTTTAGAAGACAATGTTTAAACAGGGAGCATCTGAGGCTTCACTACACAAGCCCACCTATAGTATTTAAACATCAATTCAGCTTCATCATCATGTAGCTGTCGAAGGAATTGGTAGAAGTGAAATGGCGACGTCAAATCAGCATTAAGCCAAACTTGTCCTTCACCAATTGACTTGCCTAATTTATTCCCGGCTCTATCTGTTACCAGTGGCATACAGACACCTAAACATATACTGTAAACTACCAAAAGCAAAGTACAATGACAATAATGTTCCCATTCTGCACAAAAAACAAGCTGAACCTGCTGCAAATATCCCTCCACAAGTCCTTTTTATATAGTGCGCTCCAATATCCAAATGGCCTAGCTGATCAGACCCGCCGATCTTAAAGTACTTCATAGAAGTCTGACAATGAATTTAAGGATCGAAAACAGATAGAACCTGAAACCTGCAGTTGTACTTCTTTAACAACATCGTCCAGTCCAATACTTGCATGGTTTGGTAACTGAATTCAGTAAACGATATTCCACCACGCTCATCGGCTAATCGTGATTTCACAGCACCCACTCGAAGCATTTCTCCTATGCGTAACTGCTTACAGTTTCTCAAATAGTCAACCACTGACATCTAAACAGCTATCATTACATCCCACAGGATATAGGTACACAAACGAGCAAGAACAAAACTATGGAACAGGATAAAGCTTTCGGCGTTGATCAATCCCTGAGGGATGAGCCATGCATTCGACTTCGTTAAGCATCGTTGTGGGGGAGACTGAATGCATATCTGACCTCTACAATGACTTGTGGTGGCCTACGGATGTATCGTGCCAGCACTGCTATCCTCTCATAGCAGTCTGGTACCAGTTTGCCGACTCCGGAGGGATGGAAGGTTGGTGGATCATGGGCGCGAGGATAGATTCCATGTGTGCGTTACAAGGCGTCTCCGACCACTGCACCGCACGCGCACTTTAACACTAAGAGGACTGTTAAGAGAAGAAAATCCTCACCTCTTTAAACCATGTGTTATTGTCAATCACAATGAGGTCATCATCCAACACATTTCCAGCAATACTTTTCAGTTGAGCCGTTATAAGCTGTGTATTACGCAGCAAAACATCTCTCGCTTCCGTTTTTCTTTCTATATTTAAAAACAATAAAAACAAAGTAAATTGATTCCTAATAAGTAGTAAATCTAAAACAGCTCACCAACCGGTAGACCTTCCACTTGGATCACCAACTGCAGCCGTAGCGCCACCAACGATTGCAATAGGACGTACACCGAATTGCCGACTTCTCAGCAAATTTAAAAAAACTAGTAAATTTCCAATGTGAAGACTTTCTGATGAAGGGTCGAACCCGGCGTATACTACTGGAGGTAGGGAACTGCAAAACTTCTAGGATAAATAATAAAATTAAAGCACACTCTGGATATTCTTAAGGGACTTAAACATAAGACTTTACAGAGGTTAAAAATCTTTATACTCCTACTGTGCAAATAAAGTGTTACGTTGTTCTTCATTGACGTAAAAGCTGACATTTCGGTGGACTTTGTGCTTTGTTCAGAGCTTGAAAAAATTGACAGCCAACTTGACCTTTCCAGGTTCTGAAAAAGGAGAAATCCGCCGAAACGTAAGCTTTTACGTCAACAAAGAATAAAGGAACACCTCGTGGTTGCTCTACAAGAGTATAAACTATTACAAAAGACACTCTTCCTAAAACTATCAGCCCAACGATGAGAGGGTAAGATCCCATGATCTTAACTTTCTCCTTAAAAGCTTTTTGACAGTAACTAACTAACTTTAATTCAGTTGCGAATTCAGTGTCAAGATTTGACGGATACGATGAGCGGAGAAGTCCCCGTGTCTTTAACTCTGCGACATAATTTGCAATCGATGAAGAACGTCTAAAAGCTACAAGTTATGAAACTCAGGTCATGTTAAAGAGCAATCCAAAAAACGAATTCACTAGTTTAAACTATCCGTTTTTAAGTTCAATCAATGTTTATAAGTTAGGTTGAGAGAAAGCCGAAATGAAGGACTAGCATGGTGTGGCGGAGTACCCATTAACCCCAGGGAAAGGGTGACAGCGTGTTCGTTTCCTACCGCAGACATCCGCCGTCCAGAGTTTTGCAAACATCTCAGCATCATTATGTTTATAAGGCACTTCGAATACAATGAAGTAAGTAAACACACCTCGATGAACCACGAAGACATGGAAATCGACTAACTGCTTTGATCACAGGGTCATAGAACTTTCGAATCATAGAAAGTAAAGCCAGAGACTGCATCTTTTAACAGGATGATATTACTAAACTACATTGCTAGACAACATTACTAGCGAGACAGGTTCCAACCTTGCACACAACCTAGGGCTTCCGGAGAACGCGAGTCCTACAGCAGCCAGAGGGAAGAATCCTAAGCCGCACCGCGACCGTAGTGCTTCCAAAGAAAATCTATGTGGCACAAAGTATGTTTACTAAGTCACATTAATTTCACTAGAATTCCAAAGCTTCAGGTACTACTCTCCCATAGCTACTTGAATACTTGTATGGCCCATTCTCACTAGTTGTGTGGGCTCCAGTGCAAGTTCCATTTTTCGGAATCTTGCTGTTTTAGTCATTGTGGTTTCCTGGAGTCTCGAGATCAGCCAGGCCAAAGTCTGCCCCGCTACTTTCTCCTACAAATTTCTATTACTTGATCTTCTCCATTACTAGGTAAACTAGATATGTACCTTTCAGAAGTAACTAACCTATCGAGAATTTTGGTTGTATCGTTGTCTTGGTGTAAAAGGGTACTTTAGACATGGTCGATGCCGTAGAGGAAGTTATCCAACAGCTGATTGATCGTGTCTCATCCTGTTGTGACTTTTTAGAACAAGAGGTAGTCTTTATATGAAAAAAGAAAATATACACTAACCTTTATATATTCTGGTCACTATGAAGCAGTCCTATTATTTTACACATATTTATTTGTTTTTTTTTAATCAGCAATAGAAGTTCAGACATGTGGCGATGCGGAGATCGTCCATGAACTACGTAACCATACATCATTTCTGGCAGAGCGGTCTGGAGTACAGGTAGTCTCTATGAAGTAATGCCAATGAGGGCGCGTGGCGCAGTAGTTGGAGGCGCCCTGCAATAGACATGGGACCGAACCCCACTCCGAAAGTTCACCAAGCCTTTCATCCCTCCGAACTCGGCAAACTGGTACCAGGCTTAACTTGGAGGATAGATGTACTGGGTCGATACATCGGTAGGCCAACGCGAGTCATTGTAAAGGCTAGTTATGCATTCAATCACCTACAACGATGCTACGAATGGAGTCGAATGCATGTCGCATCCTTCAGGGATTAGCCAGCGTCAAGAGCTTAATTTAGAGCTTTAAATACCATCGAACTTGATTTCCATCTATTACCATTGTTAGTTGTTTCCGCTACTTCGTATAGTTTACTTCTAGTTCGATTTTTATTCACTGGACTATCGAAGAGCGCCTTCTCTTGCGTCCGCTTCGTCGGTCGGTGGAAGTGACTTAGGTGATCTCAGCGATAGCGAACTGCCATTACTTGGTAGCGATGAGGATTCCGACAAGGAGTTTGAAAAGTACGTTTTTTTTAACCAAAAGATCACGAAAATTCGAGCAGCATCTCTGTAGTGCAATGCATGCGTTGCTCAATACATAACGGCCGACATGCATCGGGCACAATGCATATGGTAGGAGAACAATGTTCGCATCCAGTTTAAATCCACATATACAAGTCTTTGCCAGAAACGTATAAGCTCTCTTATGTTGCTAAGATGAAACTCTGATTTTTTCGAGCTTATGAGAAATATTATCCTCCCAACGGCTTACCGTCTCATCTTGGCTGGGAGGTGTTCCTGGGTGTCGGACTGCGATGCACATCTGGAGATTCATCCCATCCTGTGGCCGGGTCTCCTAAGCTGAGAAGGAGTCCGGCGCTTCCATCAGGAGGCCTAGCTAAGAGCAAACCAATGCCAGGATCCTCCAGTCTTGACATCAAAGCCGCATGGTGGCAAATCTCCCTCTGATCCATAAGGGCTGCGACTGCCTGTGGTGGTGAAGACCTGGGGCAGACTTTGGCCAGCTGACTATGGAATTTCAGGGAACCACAATGGCTTAACCAGCAAGTCCCCGAAAAATAGTGATTATGCTGGAGCTCGCACAACCAGTGAGGACGGACCATTCCACTTCAACTATCAAGTACGGGAAATATTTCTTCCACTTAATTGATTCTTAGACCCTTTTTTCGAACACGAAAACAATTGAAGTTGATTTTCATTGGGTAAGCCACAAATATGTTTGGCAGCGTGTTGTTTATGTTTAGAGCCGCTGAACTTCTAAATTCGTTCTCAGGTTTCCAAAAGCTTTTGTCCTAAACACCTACGAAGCCAAAAGATTAGAAGGCTACTGTGTACATGCTGTAAAAAGATTACATATGGCGATAGAGCAAAGTATCTCCTATGGATCTCTTTAGTATCCGGCTGCTCGAATACTCCACTGATCAAGAAATTGTCAGTACTCGAGAAACCACGTTCTTATGTTATCTTTTAGCAACTCTTTACCAATCAATTTTTTGAGCACCAGTGCTATTTCCAATGTGGACTTTTTTAATTTACTTCCTATTCTTTGTTTTATGACGAGATATTATGTGACGTGCAACTACAACGATGCTGAGATATTTGCAAAACTCCGGACCGCCAGTGTCTGCAGCGGGGATCGAACCTGCTTCTACCCTCTCCAGGGGCTAACGTGTTCACCACCACAGCATACGAGTTCTTCGTTTCGCCTATATTTGGTACTATTGCCAATCTCCTGAAATTTGGCGAATAGTCGACTATATTAAACTCATGGCTCCTGTTTCATTTAGTAGTATAAAGTAATAGTTGAGTGCTTATGTAGTAACAAATCGGTCATTCGATCAATTTCAGGTTGCAACAGTTTACTTATGAAACTCGGAATCACATATTCAAACGCGAACATTCGAATGGAATCCTGCCCCAAAAGAAACTGAAACCTGAATATCGATTGAATGCAAGTGATTTACATCACGAGTATGTTCTTTAAGTTGTTTTTAAGTAGTACCATGTCATTTTTTGGTTATTAATTCACCGTTTTTCGAATCAGAAGACAACTTACGTTTTTATGTCAGTGGAATCAAATTTTTTTCTAGATACGACAGCTTACCACCACTGGAGACACTTACCATTCACTGTGAAGAAACTGTACCACTGGAATTAGTTGGTCGAGTAGTGTACATCGTCGATTGTTTAGGTACACCTTATCTGTTTATTGCTAATGTAATTTGAATGCTTTGATAATTCGATGGCCCGTTTTCACTGGTTGTTCTGGCCTCAGCATAGTTTCCATTTTTTCGGAGTTTTGCTGGCTTATCCATTGCAGTTCCCTGGAGTCCCGAGGTCAGCCTAGCCAAAGTTTGCCCCAGGTCTTCGCCACCACGGTCGTTCGCCGACTTTGCGGATTAGAGCGAGATTTGCACCATGCGAATACTTTGATGCCAGAGCGGTGCTGGATCGTGGTATTGGTTTACTCTTAGCTGAGCTTCCAAATGGAGACACTGGACTCCTTGCTCGCTTGGAAGACCCTGCTGGGGGACGAGTCCCCCGCTGTACATGGCACACCCAGGAGCACCTCCCATCCCCGATGAGGGCGTGAACCGTTATAACACTTTAGGTAATTAGTGTAATAGGGTTGTGCACTTGGTATTCATTATACCAATCTTTTTATCATAGGTTAGAACTCTATATGCCAACTGTAGGTGTAAATGCACTTCATTTCGCGGCAGCACTTTCTTTACTTCATCATTTTTCAGTTGTTATTCAGTCAGAAAATGGAGTAGCCCTTGATTTCGACTCAGTGCTATTCGACGAGGTAATTTCATCATCATGTTTTGTCTTGGATGTTTTGTTTATAAGTGTGCATGTATGTAAATGTATATGTATGTATATGCATATGCATGTATATGTATACGTATACATATATAGGGGACGGATAGCACAGTGGTAGTGATGTCCGTCATCATGGGCAGATTGCTAGTTCGATTCCGCTCTGGACCAATAAAGCCTCTCATCCCTTTGGGGTCGGAAAATTAGTGCCGGACTTGTCTGGGAAAAAATCACTCTCTGCAATCCAATTGCAGACTCTTCAGTCCGGCTATATCAGCACTCTAGGGAGAATCGCTGAACCAGTATTCTACAACATTGAAGATGAAATAGAAATCCTGAAGCAGCAACCGAAGCCATCTTCATGAGTAATGGTTGCGAGGAAACGAATCGAATATGAGAAGTGCTGGGATCCGCACAGTAAACGTGAAAGCAGATCAAATTCAGTTAAAATGAAATATATATGTATATATAGGGCGTGTGTGGCGTAGTGGTCGGAGGCGCCCTACAACACACGTGGAATCGATCCCCGCGCCCTTGGCTCACCGAGTCTTCTATCACTCCGAGGTTGGAAATTGGTACCAGACTTGCCTCGGAGGATAGCAGCACTGGCTCGATACATCGCTAGACCACCGCAAGTCATTGTAAAAGCCAGTTATGCATCTAGTCACCTCCAAACGATGCCTAATGTAGTCGAATACATGGCGTGTCCCTAAAGGGATTGATCAACGCCGACAGCTTTATCCTTTGTTTATACATACATATATGTATATTCATACGTATATATATATATATATGTGTATAAAATATACCTATTTGTAGGATCGGAATTCTGTTGGAGTTGTATTCGACCTTTTTGGCCCCGTGAAGAATCCACTGTATTCTATACGATTCAATACAAAAGAAGAGGTAGGCTATTTTAGCTTAAGAAGGCATAACACGTTTATGTATGTTGTTGGCACTATTAGGGGCGCGTGTGGCGCAGTGGTTGGAGACGTCACTGCGACGCACACCTGGGATCGATCTTAGCGCCTAAGGCTCATCAAGCCTTCCATCCCTCCGTGGTCGGCAAATTGGTGCCAGACTTGTCTAGGAGGATAGCAACACTGGCTCGATACATCGGTAGGCCACTGCGAGTCATTATAAAGGCCAGATATGTATTCAGTAACCTCCAAAGATACCTAATGAAGTCGATTGCATGGTGCATCCCTCAGGGATTGATCAACGCCGAGAGCTTTATCCTTTATCCTTTTATTGGCACTATTTAAGGCTTCTAAGGTGAATGTCGGAATGCAAGTGTACTACGCACCAAATGTCGAGAAATACACGAAGACAGTCATCGAGACCCAGGAAAAGTAATATTTTACTTAAAGCTTAACTTGTTTAATGAGTTTCTTCAGATGTCTATTTTGACGTTCCATAAGAACTTTGTATAAGGGTCGTCGTTGAGTTAGTGAAAAAGCAGTGTTTTGTTTAGAACATAGTGCCTTCAAGGGTTCACTTTAAATAGTTATTTTAATACCTTATTGGATTGTTAAGCTTACATGAGCTTGTTGTATAAGTTCGATTTGGTTACCCTTTCAACGTCTTCGTTTTCCAAAAAAAAGGAACCGAAACTCTTTGAAACGTTAGCCGAATAAAACTTATATAACAACCTGATGGAAGCTTAAAAATCCAAGAAGGTGTTGATTATTTCTACCGAGGTTGAATATTTGCCGAAAGTTTATCTTGAATGCTAGGAACATGAAAATTCGGTTTTTCTTTGTGATCCTGTGTTTCTGCCGTTTAAATCTTTTGGCATTTTTCATTACTTGATGTTGGGATCAATTGAATGTCCTCTATCTCATTAACTAGTCGGACATATCACTGTATGCTATCGGTACTACCACATTTCTGTTAATTTCCAATTCAGAGAGTTAGCATCTGACGATGAGGGTTCATTGGACGATGATGCAAAATTCAGCGACGATGAAAAGGAAAAAGAGTACAAAGCCCGAAAAATGAAAAGCATACCTTGCTCAGGTTTATCTTCGCTTTCCCTTTTTTTTCTTTTCTTCCTACTGAAGGAGAAAAGAACCAAACTAAACGCGTTTTTAGAAACTCCTGGAAGACAGGGACAAAAACACAATGTTCGGTTTTGTGTTTCAACCATCCAAAAGGGGAAAGGTATGTTCCCGATGTCGTAAGTATGAAAGCGGCGGCATCACAGCTAAAGCCTTAATGTCTTGAACGTAACCTTTCGATAGCACTTTGGCAAGTGTAATTCATCAGATTGAAATTTTGCTCCTCTCCTCTTTCCTGTTTTCGTACTGCGAAGGTATCCCTCTACAAATAATGGATGCAAGCGTATCTGTTCCAGCAAAAGCAACGTTGTTTCGTAATTATGTAAGTCGGAATCAATTTGCAGGTAAAAATTCTATTTCACATCGGCAGAACTACGGTGGAGCATTAGAAAAATAAAAGGATAAAGCTTTGCGTTGATCAGTCCCTGAGTTATGCGCCATATATTCGACTTCATTAAACATCGTTGGAGGTGACTGAATGCAAATCTGGCCTTCAGAATGACTAGCGGTGGCCTACTGATGTATCGAGCCATTGTTGTCCTCCCAGACAAGTCTGGTTCCAATTTGCGGACTCCAGAGGGATAGAAGGCTTGGGGAGCCTTGAGCGGGGGGTCGATTCCATGTGTGTTGCAGGGCGCCCTGACAGTCGCGCTACGCGCGCCCCTTACTACAGTGGACTAGCAATAATGAAGTGGAAATATGTTCAACCAGCCTGCATTTGTGGAGATTTCTGTAAGAGGATGTTCATCGGCATTACGTTGTTACAGCATTTGTTTCATTAACGAGCAGATACAAGATTGCTATTGCAATATCTATTCCACGATAACTAACATTTTAGCTGTTCGGTCTCGTTAGGAGCCTACAAGGGTCAAATTGCTACATCTGCTATTCACCCGAATGCTTCCATAACCTCCACGAAAAGATGCAAATTTCAATACATGGATAGTTGGATGCTTGGACGGCCCGTTCTCACTGGTTCCATTTTTCGGAGTTTTGTTGGTTTAGCTTTTTTGTTTCGCTGGAGTCCCGAGGTCAGCGGCCTAACCAAAGTCTGACTGACCCAGATCGTCACCACCACAGGCAGTCGCCGCCCTTGTTGATCATAGGGAGATTTGTCACCATGCGACTAGTTTCGCGCAAGAACCGTAATGGACCCTCGTATTGGCTCACTGTTAGCTGGGCTTCTTGATGGAAACTCCGGACCCCTTCTCGGTTTGGGAGACCCGGCTGGGGGATAAATCTCCTCGCTGTACATCGCAGTTGGACACCCAGGAATACCTCCCGGTTAATCGCGAGGCAACGTGGCGTGCCCCCAAGTGGAGGATAGACGGTTAGTCGCGGACTAAAAGTGACCGCACTCCTTCATGAATCGCAGGGGGATCCAGGAGATGAACTCCCTGTCTCTGCTGCGTGTATTTGACACATGCCTCTGTGTTAGCAAGAACATATTCATGCACGCAGTGTTAGGTGTGTTCTCGTCTATGCAGATCGTATTCTACGAGTCAATTCGGCCAAAAGCTTGAAATCAAGTGGTAGGGAAGTATATGGGAGGTGGTTAGGAGCACTTGTAACAAATAAGGTCCTCGTCTACTCTGGAAGAGACCGGCGAGCTATCCGTGAGTGTACCCAACCCCACGTTGAGAGCTCAGGAAGCTATACGTTAGTATAAAGAAGCTAAACACAGTAAAATTTGTGAGCCTCATTCCCCAACCTGAAAAGCCTCCTGATGCGGCACCGTAAGGTAGGACGAATACGGAGAGGCTGCTAAGATCTCAGTCCCATTCTAGGCTGCCTAAATCTCGAAGAACAAGGGTTGTTATCTATATCGACAATCCACGCCCACTTGCATCTGAGTCTTTTATAGAGGTCATCATGCTGATCATGCCAAATTAGCCAGGTTGAACGAATGCTAACCGACTTTGGTAACACTTGTGGAAAGATTGGTCTTCGATTAAATCTCACAAACGATGTTTGTGAAGAACGGTTTGATTTCGTATGCCCCATTCACTGTCAGCGGTGAGAATATTTCCGAACACTCCAGCTATGTCTATCAAGATCGGAAGATCAACATGATGAACGACTTGGCTCGAGTGTTGAGCACAGGGAAACACTCGCGTGGAGAGGATAACAAAAAACACCCAACTCTGTCCACCTTCTCGACTCCACGTTCTTGCCTTAGTTTATGCGAAGGTTCTCTACGTAGTTGGATGAAGGATTACTCAGCGTTATGGAATCCGCATTCGAAACCAGGATACCAGGATTTAACCGCATCATCCAAGTGAGAGAGGAGATTTGAAACAATTCTCACTGTGTTTAACGTTTTGTTTTCTGCCTTCTATAATTTTCATGGCAGGTTACTAAGCGAAATACAACCACAACGTTGCTGAGATATTTGCAAAACTCTGGACCGCAGGTGTCTATGGTGGGGAACGAACGCGCTATTGTCCTTTCCGGGGAGTAGCGCGTTCACCACCACACCATACGGGTCCTTTGTTTCGCACGTCTCTCAGCTATTTCTATCGATCTTTTTCTCACAGCAATCACCCGTTAGCGGGGTTGATCTGGGGAGCGCAAATCGGCATAGAACCCAGTTAAGCTGCGACTGTAGTTGAAATCACAATGTTTAACGTTTGCTGTGGGAAAAAGATCGATAGAAATAGCTGAGAGACGTGCGAAACAAAAGACCCGCATGGTGTGGTGGTGAACGCGTTACTCCCCGGAAAGGATAATAGCGCGTTCGTTCCCCACCATAGACACCTGCGGTCCAGAGTTTTGCAAATATCTCAGCAACGTTGTGGTTGTAATTCTCACTGTGTTGTTAGCTGTCGGACCACCCGTGTATTGCTCACGTGGGATGACGAGTGAAACTCACCCCGATCAAGTAACCGATATGAAAGCCATGTCAAGTGTGATAATGAGGCGTTCATCTCTCAGGTTAATCTTTGGGGTTTTAAAATTTATCCAAAACGCTTCAAGAGTTTTGCAGGTTGACGTTCTTGATCCCTACGACAGGATCCTGACAGTCGTCTCGAATAGAATTTTAAGTTCCCTGTATAGATGTTCTTTTATGTGGACAGAAAGTGGTCTACCTAATATATCCTAGCGTGACCATCTGTATAAAAGCCGTTGGTATCTGGGTCACCGATATATCAAGAGTACAATGAGAAGACCACCGATCCCTAGAACAGCACTTTTCGGAGAGATCTTAGAACAAGAAGAGGATTGGTGATGGTAATATTGCTTAGTTTTGTTTGGACGTTTCGTTGTCAGGCTGCAGGAAAGTATTGAGGTTTTTAATTACCCAGTAACGCTCTCCCATTCGTCTAAAGTGATTAACTGGACAAGTTCAAATTCTAGCTGATATTCTGCTGCTTTCTTCTACCTCAAAAATTTTCGATTATCGATTGTTCGGTTATTTGAGCCCATATTATCAGAAAGAAAGCCACTTTATCTCAAAATTCCGAATATACCCGTAAATAGCTTTCGACATCTTAGTTGCGCGCCTCAAACTTACACATATCGCCATGGGAAACATCACTTCCATAAACGAAGATCGCAAAGGAAAAATGTTCATCGGATTCGGCCTGGGAACCTAATGGTTGTGGAGGAAAGAATTCCCATTATTCTGCTAGCTGAAATAATTTGATGGTAATTATAAGGCAGTGATCGAGAATTCCTTACTTCTCATGAAATTTTTTTGGTATTCTTGCATCACAAAGGTTATTAGAATTTTGGACATTGCAATTTCCGAAAACTCCAAATGGAAGGCAAAAAATGGGTGGAAAGGACTGAAATAAGATGAAAGCACTTCGTCGATCTTTCCACCATTCATGCTTTAGACGGTTAAGGTGAAATATTCATTTTGGTATATTATGAGTAAGACCTCTCTTTTTTTATTTATTTCTTTTTTTAAACTGGACGCAATATTGTATTGATGCTGAAAATTTGATTTTTTAAACGTTAACGTTCTTTTTAGGTGGAAGGTCAGAAATCAAAAGAGGTGGCATCGGTGGAAAATCGTGGAACTGGCACTCAGTTGCTAACCGCATCGAAAGGTACGTCATAATCATAATTGGTCAGATAATTTTTCTTGGAACAGTCGTAACACTGAAGTGTTGTCTCATAGAGGTCGATTCAATCGGCGAAGAAGCAATAGAAGAACAGAATTAAACCGTATTCCATCTACTTCAACGACGATGGGTAATCCATATGCTGAGTATGGATGCTTTAATAGCACTCTTGTCGATACAAGAAAACTGTAGTGACTAATGTTTACGAGGAATAACACGCATGCGAGGATGATCCAAATTGTTGTTAAGTACTTGTCGCTAGTTTCAAATTTTCTACTTCTTCTTCTACACTACCTATTTTTCTTTTTGTTGTCACTTTTTTTTTCTTGTCCTCACACTAGGAATGCTGTCATGTTGTTAAAATTTTACAACTGTTGTTCTCTTGAATCGAACTCGAACTTGTCGTAACGTGTTTTGTTTCGTTCTGTTATGTTTTGTTGTTTACACTGTTTTTCTACGCAGCTGTCTAGAATTACAGTGCTACTTTTGATCAGTGTGATTGTTAACATTTTCTAAAGCTTTTTTCTTCTAGAGTTAAGTGAATTGAGTTTCCTTTAGCTCATGCTCTCAGGTTTATTTCGTAAGGCACATTGTTTGGTATTGAAATTATAACTTAAGTATATTCTGTTTGAAAGCAGCTGCTGATGCAAATGGATAAATCTTGATAGCGAGCTTCGCTTCTGAAAAATTCCAACCATCAGTGTTCGGTTCTTTGGAAGATTCTTAGCAATAAATCACCCTCGAAAGACTGTCACTTACTACTGAGCGGTTTCCCATTCTTGCAACTCTCTGAGATTGATAATGCAGTACAGACATCTTCCTCGGGTCCTTCCCATTCATAAGGATCGAGGAAAGAGCCGTTCACCCGTTTAAGGCCTGCCGCGCACTACAATACGGTTACTGATCTCACCATGTTTATGTATGAACTACCGACAATGTATTTTCTGGGAATGACTAACCTCACTAAAAAGTCCGTGGTAATCTGGTCGGTCCTCGTACTTGAGTGTTTCTAGATACTGACGGATTTTGAAGAATTCGGTTGGACACGTCTGAAGAGCTGTTTGCTTGAAGAACACTGGAACCAATTTGGTGAAATTTGGATCGATCCGATACAGAACCTCAAGCAAAACTTGCGGCGAGCAATTCTCTTTGGCGACCATTATCTCCCTTTCGTTGGTGAGATGCCACCATGGTAGAACGGTGCGTAATTCGATGACCGTGTGGAGCCAGCACCAAAGGTCGTCAACACGACCCTGTCCGTAGCATATTTTTAAAAATTCGTTCGTTTTAAGTAAAAATAGAAACATTCCTTGTTTTCTTCACTGTTTCTTTGTAGGACGGTTGAAATGATTATCATCAGATTAGAGGAACATGCTTGGTTTCTTGATTTAATTCTGTTTCACTTGCTCTGAAGGACCGTGCAATGTTCCTGGTCTCTCATGTCGTCGCAGCAGTTTCATCATAGTTGCACTTTTTCGTGTTTGAGTTCTTTCATTTTCAGATAAATACTTCCCCTATGTCATTTTTTTACACATTGCCTTTTTACATACATCGTAACCTCATAAACTCCGACGATTGAACTTGCTTTTTACTCTTTAATATATAACCATCTCATCGTTGCTAGTGGGCTTTCGGCTTCTACATCGTCCTTGAGCGGTCGGTTACTTTTTCATTACTACTTTCGTTTCTGATTTCAGTTTTAACAGCTCTCCGAATCAACCAGTAGGAAGACCGAGCGAAGGATTCGTCGTCGAAAGCACACTTTCCTCTGATCCACATCGTGGTGAAGACCTGGATACGCCCTTGCAAGGTTACGTCAGGACTTCAGGGAGGACTAAGTTGCACGACTAGCAATAGGCCAGCCTCAGTACCCCGCACACTGGGTGCTCCCATCTGTCTTCAGGCGGTGAGATAACCGGTGAGAGACCAGAAAATCTCGGGTTACGCAGGACGTCATTGAAACCGGATCTGACGAACACACGCACAACACGCCATGGAGATTGTTTCTTACTATGCACATATAACGCCGGACCACTCTCCACAGACGTCGATCTTCACGCCCTTCTTGTAGCCGCAGATCGCATTAAATTTCATGTGATCGCATTGCAAAAAGCAAAAATCAAGAAGACCGACATACGCCAACTAAACAACGGGACTCTTGTGTTCCGTGGGGAAAAGGTCCCGTCACGAAATGTCGGTGGCGTAGGCTTTGTCGTCCACCCGCCCATTGTCCATCTCGTCGACTCCTACGTGATCCTTTTCCCTCGCATAGCCGTCCTCCGTCTTCAACTGTCGCATCATAAGAAGATCACTGTTATCAACTGCTACTCACCGACCGATGTAGCTGATGAGTACGAATTAAATGCGTTCTATTATCAGTTGGAGGAAGTTATCCGCAATGATAAAGCATATCATAAATTTGTTGCTGGAGACTTCAACGCTAGAAGAGGAAAGGCCAACGAGAGTGAATACAGGATCGCGAATTTTGGATTAGGAGAAGGAAATGAGAATGGTAACCGTCTCACAGGGCTCCTGCCCGCAGCACGTCTCTTCCATGAAAACTTATTTTCCCAGAAGAAGGAAAGCCACCGCTGGGCATGGGAGTCTCCTAACGGCACTTACGGCATGACTCATGCGGAAATCGACCACATTCTGAAAAACAAAAGATAGTACCTACTTGACACATAGGTAGTCCCGCAATTCTGTACTGGTTCCGATCACCGCCTTCTTGCGAAGACTCAACTCAGACGAAAGCTGGAAAAGAGCTCTTCATAGGCCAAGAGGAAAAGCCTAGTTGTATACGACCAGAACATTCTAAACGAAGTCCTATCCAAATGTGACTGGCAGATTAAAGAAGACCCGACCAAAGAGTACGAGCTGCTGTGGAAAGGCTGAAAAGCTGCGTCGAATCGCCTCAGTTCTTCAAGCAAGAAGATCAGATCGCATCTACATTACTACCAAGGAGTTGCTCAAAAAGAGAAGGAAGCTGGACCTTGATCCTATTGCAGCACGTTTAACGTTGCATAGTAATAAATGCCAGCTGCAGAAAAGCTTTGCAGCAAGGTCTACATCGGTGCAGCAAAAGCAAATACTGGAAGCGGAAAAGAAAAGAAACGGTCTGAAAAAACGCCGTTGGGACTTGTGTGATGATAATGTTCCGCTGCCGGCTTCGATAAACGAAGACTGGTTCGTCAAAGCATCGCGCCATGATATGGAATTAATAGAGGAAACGTTCTACACCAACCTTTTCCGTTCCACAATTCCCGTCCCGGATCCTAATAGCCCCGCTGGAGAAAAGCCCCCTGGAATTCTGCCGTCGGAGCTTCAAGTTGCAACGGAAAGCATGAAAAGAGGCACAACTCCAGGACCCAATAATATCACAGCCGATTTGCTTAGAGCCGGAGGCCACAATTAAATATACTTCTTGCAAATCATATGACAGGCTACCTTCAAAAGGAAAAAATCCCAGACCAGTGGAGGACGTCGTGCACGGTTATCATGCTCAAGGAAGGAGACCAAAGTTTATCAGGAATACCACCAGCCTGCCGTCCTAACCTTTGTCGACTATGGAAAAGCGTTTGACAGTGTCGAAACGAATGCCATCCTACCAGCGCTCGTCGACCAAGCTGTGGACCCATCCTACATAACAATTCTGTCCGACTGCTGTTGAAACTGCACTACGAAAATACAGCTTCTCCATCCACCTCTTACCATACCTATAGGAAAAGGGGTTCGACAGGGCGACACAACATCTCCAAAGCTGTTCAGTGCCGCACTGCGGAGGATAATGAAGTCACTCGATTGGGATGAGAAAGGCATACGTATTGATGGAAAATTCCTATCAAACCTTCGTTTTGCCGACGACATTGTCATCTTCTCAAGAAGTACTAGCGAAGCAGAGATGATAACCAACGAGGTCAGCGAAGCGGGATAAGGATCAAACTTCGTATAAATCGAAATAAGACCCAGTTCATGAGAAACCCACGGTGAGAAGGCGAGAAAATTGAATTGGATGGCTCTCCCATTGCAGATACCACCTCGTTCGTTTACCTTCGGCGATCAATGAAAATGGAAAACAACATGAAGGAGGAACTAGATAGAAGAAGGAGAGCAGCTTAGGCCACATTCGGCCTTCTCAAAGAAGCCACCGACCGACTGAAGGACCCGAAAATCCGTGCTTATCTCTTTGATTCTACGGCCCTCCCAGCGCTTTGTTATACTGCAGAGACGTGGGTTGATACTTCAACTACGTCAAGAATGCTTCGAACTACCCACAGAGCGCTTGAGCGATGTCTTCTGAAGTCGGTATACGAGACTCCCAACACTACCATGCTCGAACAAGACCACCACCATGAATTACGATTGCGAACGAATGGGATATGTGCTAGGGTCCGCACAACTCGTTGAGACGGACCTCCAAGTATCAAACTAAGTAAGTAAGTATCGCTGCTAGTTGAATAGTTGAAATTGCTGGCCATGTAGAGCAAGGGGGGAGGGGTTCTTCAAACAGATTACCGAATCATAGAAGTTTTACATCTTCATCTGTTAGCTTGGCTGAGAATGATTTTACGTCATGGCAAGAGTAAGTGATGTATCGATGGATGTTGAGTGCTCACGAGTTATGCAAAAGAAAAGGGCTTCATACTGAAAGGCTTATGACCTTCACCTCTCTTTAAAAGCGAAAGCAACCGAGTAATTTTGATATGCGACAATAGTGAACGGAATGCTTTATGGTCAAAGTTACTCGATGATCGTTAACCTGAATGCTTACTGCTTCTCCAACTTGGACAGTTTTTTTGTATTTAAAACAACGGTGGGCCGGTTGTTCAATTCGATCTTGATCATCTTTCAGCCTCAGGTAAAGAAATAACTAGCCTGCTCTTTCCCGTAATGTGTATTCAAGCTACAGTATCTAGGAGTGCCACGAAATAACTGATTTCCACTACGAGGTTTCTTGATGGCCAAACTCCCTTTCTCATCTCTTCCAACGAAAGAACGCACCATGCCTGAAGTTTCTTTTTCTTTTCCTTTGGTAATGTGGCCTACCATTCACCAGTAAATTCGATATATTTCCAGAAGTAAATTACTTCCAAATATTGTAAGTTACCAGAGAAATCACCAAAGTCGATGAGGTAGACCGTTCTTCTATCTCTTCCAAATTTGCCGATCATGAAGTTTCCAGGCTTGATATCGCGATGAATATAGCCGATCTCGTGAAGCTGTATGTTTGATATGACTTACAGTTCATATTCATTGATTTCTAGTCAGGATTCTTTATAAACATGTCAAACTTCATCATCTCTTCGGTTTCTTTCTTAGAGTTTTCCGTTGCTGGATCATTAATGATAAGCAGAGTTGATCACATTTAACACAGTATTACCTGTTTTATGGCGTGCAATGTGCTGATTGCAATCCGGAGAGTAGTCGATTCCGAAAAAGGTCTACCTCCATATTCACGTCTCAAAGTCATCAAATCTTTGTCGCACAGCGTCATCACCATGAAACTAAAATTTATTTGCTCCACTAATTAACAAAAGCTGCAACTGTATAAATATTGTGAAGTGAGCGGGATGGTGTAGAAGAGATTACGATTCATTAATTTTGCCTTATGTTTAAGTTCTGGTATACTGTGGGCATTCGACATGAGCATAAGCGGACTCTAATAGGTGACAGTGCCTTGTCAAGCGTTGTTTATTTGTGCCACGTTCTCTTAAGACTCTTATCTAGAATTCAAGTCTTTTTTACATTATCAAACTTGTTGTTCATATTGATAAAGACCTTTCACTTCATTGTTGATTTTTGCTTCTTTCCATCAGATGAGAAAACGAACAAAAAAGCCCAAACCTGCCACTACAGAAAGACTAAAACAGTTTTCTTCAAGGATTAGGAGAGGAATTAATATAAGTGGAAATTTTGTCAAACAAATCTGGTTGTCTTTTTTAAATACGAGGCACGAGAAGTGAACTTGCTATAGATACGGTACCGTAACAAACCCACTGTCGCTAGATCGACCCGGCAGTGTGGAAACCAATTCTCCCATATTCCCAGCATCTACAAATTGGTGTCAGACTTGTATTGGAAAAGCTCTCCGTAATCCACAAAGGGTAGCGACTGCCTGTAGTGATGACTGCAATGTTCATATAGAGCCATGCTCAGATTTCAGAGAGAATCGACTCCACCACCATTCACTGACATTCTTAAAGAAGACAAAATCCTTCAAGTGGAACCTTATTCCACTCGCAAATCCGCAAAATCTCAATGATGTCTGCGACGAAACGAATTTGATGAAAGATGTAGGACCTCGATGACAAGTACACAATATGTAATGTTGGGGATAATGTAAACAAAATGGATTTTTTCTCTACTTCCAATTGCAATCGGCAAGATCGTTCCAAAAAATATTTAGGCAACCCTTCGACGCCAAATACTCACTCACAGAACTATAATTAGTGGGATATCACTAAGTCACCAATATCTGCGTCTGTTTCCAGAGTCGTACAACTTCATTGTGCCCTTCATCTTTTGCAGTTTCTGAAGTAGATGAACTTCTAGTTTTAGCACACCACCTTCAGATAACTCGTTTTCAACCTAGAAAAAAAACTTTTGTTTGGAAACGCCTTCACAGAATCCGAAATAACGGCAAAGAATTCCGACCTTCATTGCGGCAAAAAAATTCTTGCGATTTCTGTCTGCGACCTTGTAAATTGCTCCCATTCCTCCTTCGCCAAGTTTCTCGATCACTTTCCATCGTCCACCAATGATCTAAATAACGTTGTATGCAATGGACGCAAATTTAAAGATCCATCTATAAACAAGTAGAGTACTTGTCTATAGATGGTTGTTTAAATTGAACTGCAGTGGTTAGACCCGCACTCCGATATACGGTATTGTTGTCTATTCAGTCTAATGTTCCGGGAAAACTAGGTTCCCTACTACTATGTATTTGCGGATTTCATCAGAATTGTCGGGATTTACAAAGACCTCGATTTAATTCGACAAACCACTGTACGACGCATACTGGAATCGAATGCTGGACGTATCCCTAAGATCCCCAAGAGATCGACCAACACCAACCATTTCATCGTAGTCCTTCATTAACCAATTTTTTTCTTATTCCGCTTGACCGACTTCAAACATTGTGCATATCCCAGAAATTCCTTTATTGAATTCATTTTCTTGTATCCATCATCCACAAGGGTCTACGGATTCTGCGTGGATTCGTTTGTTGCTTTTAGGTTTTCTGTTTTCCTTAATGAATGTTGCTGGTTGAGCCGATTCCTCCTGAAAATTGTTGGATAGCCATGCTATGCGTTCCCAGATCTTCATCCTTGGCAGTTGCCAGAATTTGTGTACTGGAGAGAGCGTGTTGATCCTCACCATTTCCGCACTACCTAGTGATTTAAAACTGGGTGGGCTCGTTCTGGATCGAAGTACTGGTTATTAAGTATTAAATTGCATTATTGCCTTAGCACTAGCCAATTGCCCTTCAACTAAAGTACGAAATTAATCCTACCTTTCCTGGGTGAAATGACTTGAATTCTCTCGATCTCTCGGTTAACATACCACGTTAACTATTAGTGGAAAATGAACCATACCACCGTATTTTGTCTTAGAGGAATGATAGTAGGTGAGATTATCAGTTGCTACGGGTATGGTGTGTGAATATTTTACCACTTATTACGAAGGCACACCCCTCAGTAATAAAGTATGGGGTTGCACACCTTAACTGTTGTAATGTAGCTACACGATAACATATTTATTGTTCTTCGTTGTTTTGTATCATCGCAAAAATTTCAGGAATTTCAAAGTTTCGGGTGCCCTTAAAGGCGAAATATCTCATTTCTAAATCTGATACATAAGATGACCACGCGATCTTTTCGGTTTTAGAGAAAACCAGCTGCTTGGTAGTAAACAGGAAGGATGGGAGATGTTTTTTTTCGCCTTCCGTTTATGTTCCTCGATGTGAATATAAAGATACTACCGAACATTCTCAGTATGTTGCCCATAAAATTTGCTGTCGTTCTACTAAACAAATAGACAAACTGTACAGATTTTAGTGACGGGTAAGCAATCGAAGCTACCACTTGTAATTTGTACAGTTTTTTTTTCTCAATTGGTCTCATCGAAGGCGAACAATGAATGGGTTTGTATTATTTTGTCTTACAAATACCTAAGCAGGCCTTCATCTCTGATTTTTAACGCCTTCTTATGCAAGGATACGGTACCATCGGGTGGTACTACGTTGTAACACCTTTCAATAGATTTTCTTCTATATCTACTATTGCCATTAAGGCGATTCAATAGTTTTAGCAATCGAAAAGCGTTTTTTTTTTTCGAAAAAATTGGTTGGGTGACAAAATGACACCTATGCTAAAGAGATTACAGAGTCGTTTATCGCTATAAGGTTTACGCTGAAGTTAAAGGATGGAAATCACTTTTTCCCACATGCCTCTGTTAGCGACTTGACCTTGTGGTTTGACTTTAATTTATTAATTCTTGTTTATTCCATACTACCCATATTAACGTCTATTGCCCAGTTTCCAGTATTTCTCGTATTCGATTCGTTTCTTCGCATCCATCATCCACGAAGATTTTCCAACTTTTACGTGTGGTTAAATTGTTGAGCTTACACAAGGTTGACAATTCGGCCAACGTTCCGACCTCTTCGTCTTCATCAGAGCCGATGATCCGAGTCGATGGTTCACAGTTGTTCGTCTTCTTAATGTGAAGCCACATAGTGGCTGTTAGTTGCAAGTTCTCTGTGCTTTACAACCACAACGTTGCTGAGATATTTGCAAAACTCTGGACTGCAGGTGTCTATGGTGGGGAACGAACGCGCTATTGTCCTTTCCGGGGAGTAACGCGTTCACCACCATACCATGCGGGTCCTTCGTTTCGCCCGTCTCTCATCTATTTCTATCGATCTTTGCCACAGCAATCACCCGTCAGCAGGATTGATCTGGGGCGCCCAAATCGGCATAGAACCCAGTTAAGCTGCGGCTGTAGTTGAAAACACAATGTTATCTTTTTATTTTCTGCTTATTATAATTTATAATTTAATTTATAATTTATAAAGGTATAACATTGTGATCTCTGTGCTTTATTTTTTTTACGCGTTGTCCTGTTTTCAGTTTCTTTTTTAGCTTTTCTCAGTTATTTCTCTCGTCTTTTGTTGTCGTTCTACTCGTTGACGTACCAGGACTCATTTTTATTCTATTAAAAAGCTTGTCACTGCATCGTCGCATGTTTTTACTTCTTGTATACTGTAGAGGCATTTTTACCAAATCACTTAGATATTTCTTAGCATCATAAAATTAGTTCGCTATGTTTAGTGTTGAATTTATATCATAAGTATATTCTCTTTAAAAGCCGTCGTCTTGAAAAATGGATAGGTCTTGTCAGAAAGCTGCCTTCCTAAAAACATTCACTCATTAGTAACTGGTTCCCTGCCGTGTGTTTTTCAGTCCTTCTTTGAAGAATAAAATACTCTCATTAAGCTCTATTACTTACTAGTAAGAGGTTTTGTTTTTTTAGGATCTCTATGGGATTTCTCTGAGATTGATAGTGCGGTATTAGTCTCTTCCCGTGGTCCATCCCATTCGTAAGGATCGAGGAACGAGCCTCTCACCCGTTTTAGGCCTGCCGCACACTACAGAGAAAGATGTTAGAGTTAGTTGATCACGGAAATAAAGAGTGTTTTTTGTTTTTAAAAAATCTCGCTTCAATTATGATTTCGTCTGATCATCAGGAAAATAACTGCGTTCATCGCTGGAACTTACGAAACAGTTCGATTATGGAGAAATGTTTCGACAGGTCTGTGGAAACACCCCTTTGGAGTGCTTTTTCAAAAACTTAACTTTTTTTAATACTGAGATATTTGCAAAACTGCGGGCCTCAGGTGTCTGCGGTGGGAACGAACGTGCTATTGTCCTTTCCGGGGAGTAACGCGTTCACCACCACACCATGCGGGTCCTTCGTTTCGCCTGTCTCTCAGCTAGTTCTATCGATCTTTTGCCATCAGCAATCACCCGTTAACTTTTTAAAATCAACTAGGAGTACACGTGTATGGTAAAACTCTAGATTATACCTTGGAACAAGGCTGCGTAATCCACCATTGACAATGTTGAGTCTTTTGAAATTACGAACCTCACTGAAAAGCCCGTAGTAATCCGGTCGGTCCTCATACTTCAGTGTTTTCAGATAGTCGTGGATTTTGCCGAATTCATTTGGGCATCCCTGAAAGTGGTTTTTTAAGAGTAATCATTTTAAAACTAAGTTTATGGCAGTAAAGAGAACCTTAAGTAAATTTCCCGGCGAACAGTTTTCTTTGGCGGTTGAAATCTTCCTTTCATCTGAGAGGCCTCTCCACGGTAAGCCGACATGCAGTTCGATGATCGTGTAAAACCAGCACCAAAGATCGTCAACGCGGCCCTATACGCGCTCCTTTTTAAAGCATACATTTTAAGTCAATCAGAAAAATTTCCTGTATAATCATCGTAATTACGAATTAGCGCATTAGGGATGCGCGTACCACACTTGTAGCGATGCCGTTCGATAGACGTAAGGGTTTGGTTGCCGTCATCCTAGGCCGATCAAGCCCCACATCTTTTCAGGGTGGAGAAATTAGTGCCAGACTTGTTCACGATCAGCTCTCACCCCCAGATTTGCTAAAGATGGCCCCTGTGTTGTGATGACGATCTGGGAACGCCCTAGCACGGGTGTCAAGCTTCCAGGAATAATCGATTTCACCAGAACTCGATGACATTCACAGGTAAACTGAAAATTCTCAAGCAGTAGCCGAATCCACACGCTAATCTAAGGACTTGAGCGGTGATCCATGCTAGGAAGCTAATCGAGTGCATGAAGTGCTGAAGTTCTAGGAATATATAAAGACAGACCATGCAAAAAATGTATGGAACAGTATGGAACAATCATTGCAGTCGAAGTGAACAATCCTAGTCACAAAATAGCAATTTCCAGCCCTAATCAATGGCAGCTGTTCTATCTGGAATCCCAAGAAGAACCACACCCTCTCAGAGTTCATTATGTTCAAACAAGAATGGCTAGTGCACCTAAACACTAAAGATGCCCATCAAATGCGATGTCCGCCCAAAAGGTTAAAGGGAAGAATGTTGGCATTCAACAGATAAATGATGGAGTTCTTTCACCCTTTAGGGAGTTTTTACCACTTAATACTGAAAGCCTTTGCAAATGTTTCGTATAGATTACCCTAATGTAAAGATAGCAGCAACAGAAGGAAAAGAATACGAAAATTGAAAATTTGGTATTGCTACTTGCCCTTTCGTTAATATTCCATTTTCGAGGCGAAGCACCACCAGGGCTTGACCTAATAATCCAAAAGATCTGCCGACTACATAATATCGATCGTATCCTTGTCAAAGATGTAGGATATTTTACGTTGGCGACATTTCATTTAATTTTTCCACAGTACCAAGTTATTGACTTTTTCGTGTCATTACTCACTTTAACTAGAAATAGGACACGAGACCTAATTATAATGCTGGAGGTCTTCTGGATGAGGTCTTATCGAATCGTGGTAGGCCTATGTAGACTACGACAAAGCGGCGAAACTTTGCAAATTTTTGCCGAGTAAGCTCCTCTTGATCTAAGGAAGGGCAGGGCACGTTAATTAAGCTGTTTTTACTAAATTTTTTCGTTTCATTTTTTCGCACAAGAAGAGAAACTTGGGCGACCTCCCGAGTTACGACCCAACGATCAGTTTATTGTGTATGCTGTTTGAGCTACTCAGGAAGACTGTTTTGACGTACAGCTTTAAAAACCTGGGTAGAGCATGCCCAGCAATTTAGATCGGTTGATGACATTCAATTATTTTCATAGGGTCATAAAGGTTTGCCGAGAGTAGCATCTACCTCTTTTCCTAGTAAAAGTTTCCAGGATCGACTTTCTATTAACCTAGGCAGTGGAATGTGAATGCGTTGTTTTCTTGTTCAGCAATCGCGAGGTTTTTAACCAGCATACATTTACTTCCATAGAAGAACACAATACAATACAACACTAGCTGACGTTTAGGTAGTATCGCCTTCTTCAGAGCCGCTTTTTTCCGTGACTTCCAATGAGGAAGTTTAGAACAGCTGATTACAGTCGCATATGGTTGATGACTGAGTCAACTGTTCTAAACTTCCTCATTGGAAGTCACGGAAAAAAGCGGCTCTGAAGAAGGCGATACTACCGAAACGTCAGCTAGCGTTGTATTGTATTGTGTTCTTCGATGGAAGTAAATGTATGCTGGTTAAAAACCTCGCGATTGTTGTACAAAAAAACGACGCATTCTTTTCCTAGTTTTCAGTGGTTACGATAAACTACTAGGCAGTGATGACACCAACACCGTTCGGTCCCTCTTAGGCGACTAATACATAAACACGCGTAAAAAACTATTGTTGGCTGCAAAAATCTTTGTACAGCACCATTCTTGCTGTCCATCCACTATTCTTACAGTCGCGTTTAAAGTAGGCAAGCAACAAGAATAGGTGAGAATATAATTTGATATACGAGTGTTCTCTAACTTTCATTTTGTCGACAGCGTTGCCATCTTTATAAGCTCTATTCTAGGAGCAGAAAGCATTTCTGTCAAAGTCAGTGAAATAGGGTGAAATATAGGACCACAGATTGACCAAAAAATTCTCAAGTCGTACAATTCATGGGAAACGTTTGATTTAGAGAATAGGTTGTACTGAATCATAATGAAACCACATCCTACATTTACTCACGATGAAAATGTGCCACAATTAGTAATCATCTGAAAGAAGAGCTCAGCAGAAGAAAACCTACAGCGTGAGCCCACCTCAGGCTTCTAAGAGACGTCAGTAACAGCTTAGAGATCACGACCTACGTGCATCCGCATTTAACGTAACGTTCTTCTATCTCTAAGCAACAGGAATTGGAGCTAATATTTTTTCACAATATAATTCTCTGATACAATGCTCTCGAAAACCTTTTATATAGATGAATCGCTGCACTCAGCACCAGTCCGATTTTCGTAGTTTAGACTTTCAAGGAACATCTCTTCTCCCAGATTCAGTTGCATACGGCTCAGTAAATATACCTCCGCGACACTAATTTTCTCCATAAATTTTTCTCTAGAACAAAAAGAACTTTTACTAAGTTTCTGTAAGCCATACAAACTGCTCTGCTAATTCGCACATTAACATTGAACGATATTGAGATGGTGCTGACTTTTCATATGGTGACTTTCCTAAACTAAAGATGAGACTGACCTGTTCCTTTCTGTGGTGTGTATTTAGGCTACAGTATCTGGGAGTTCCACGAAACAGTTGGTCGCCATCACGTGGCTTTCTTATGGCTAACTTCCCGTTCTTATCTTTTGCAACAAATGAACGCGCCATGCCTGAAATTATTTTGGTGGCAGTGTTGCCTACTCCTAACCAATAGGCTTACTATATTTCTGAAAACAAATCACTTCGAAGTTTCAAAAGCAAATAGGAAAATTACCGAAATCAATGAGGTAAATCATTCTCCTATCCCTTCCATATTTTCCGATCATACAGTTCGACGGCTTAACATCACGGTGAACGTAGCCGATTTCATGAACCTGTATGTTGTATATGAATTATGCTTCATATTCATGTGTATGTCTGATTCTACCATTTTGTCGGCTTCAGAATAAGATTAACAATAATGAAAAATCACCTTTCAATGACGTCTACGTTTGAGATCTTTCAGATATTTATTATTTTCGACGTATTTACCTGTTTTATAGCGAAAAGTGTGCTGATTGCAAGCCGAAGAATTGTTAATTCCGAAAAGGCTCCACCGTGTTCACGTTTGAGTGTCATCAAATCTTTGTCGCACAACGTTATCACCATGAAACTAAAGTTCACTCGATTCTCGATTTCGAAGAATGCAAAACTGTAGATAACGGTATGTGGCCGAATTGCTGGTGAATTGGATAATATTCATGAATTTTGTCAGAAGTCCAAGTACTGGTTTCATTACGCACATTTAACATGATGATAGACAAACTCTCGTCGGGAACACTACCTTGTTACCTGTTATGAAATGCTGCGCCAAGTGGATGTAAACAAAATAGTCTATGTTTTATTAATCCCTATTAACTCCCTAGCATAATTTAGTATAATAGGAACTTTCGCTAAGAGCGTTGCACTGAAAATTTGAAATGCGAAAGAGAATCGGTTGTGTGTTAACGACAATATAGGGATCGGTATCTTAACATGGGTACTTTTTGTACTCGAACCAGTATTTGGTCCGTAGAGTATAGTAGCTTGAACATATCAGTGCTCCACATCAACTCAGTGTTACTACATTTTCCCCAGCGCTATTGTCATTTTACGTCCTAGTTATGAATCGTACCTCCCAACGGTTTAGCGCCTCATCGTGGCTGGGAGGTGTTCCTGGGTGTCGGGCTGTGATGTACAGCGGAGGATTCATCCTTTGGCAGGGTCTCCCAAGCTGAAGAAGGAGTCCGGCGTTTCCATCAGGAAGCCTACCTAAAAGTAAACCAATAGCAGGACCCACCACCGTCCTGGTATCAAAGTCGCATGGTGGTAAATCTCCCTCTGATCCACAAGAGCTACGACTACCTGCGGTGGTGAGGACTTGGGGCAGACCTTGGCCAGGCTGACCTCGGGACTCCAGAGAACCATAATGGTTTAACCAGTAAGTCTCCGAAAAATGGAGATTATGCTGGGGCCCGCACAACCAGTGAGGACGGGCCATTCAAGTATCAAATATCAAGTAGGTCATGAAGTGTTCCTTAGCGTATTCTAGTATAATATAAACGCTTGAACATCTACTTCCACAACAATCTCCCCTATATCCGAGCTTGTTGAGGAATATCTGGTAAGCTTAAATACTGGAGAGTATTTTATACTCAGTTTGGTTTCGTAATTATTTCCGTAGCATAAATGAATCCTAGGGAACAAAAATGTCTCATGCATTTAAATGCATGACTGATTTTTGCATGATTAAGCGATTTTCCGCAAAGGAAATTGAAAATACTTAACATTTTCAATGTAGTTTTTACTTTCAGTTACACTCGTCAGGTGTCAACCAAATTAACCGCTGGAGATCTGTTAATGGACCCAAGGGCTTAGTAAGTGTTTACCCTACTAAGGGAAAATTGTTAGTCACCAATAGTTCTGTCGCCTTCCAGAATCATACAACTTCACTGTACCCTTCATCTTTTGCAACTGCTGAAGTACGTGAACTTCCAATTTTAGTACACCACCTTCAAATAAGTCGTCTTCAACCTAGAACAAAGTTTTTGATTGAAAAAGACTTCACAGAAGCCGAAACTGATGGCAAACATTTCTGACCTTCATTGCGGCATAAAAATTTCTGCGATTCTTGTCCAACACCTTATAGACTGCTCCCATTGCCCCTTCGCCAAGTTTCCCAATCACTTTCCATCGTCCACCAATGATCTAAATAACGTTGTACATATAGGGCATAAATTTAAATCTCCATTAAGCGCATGTACACATAAGAAACACTTCTACCTTTCCTTGTGTGAATCCCTTGAAGTCTACTTTGTCTTCGGCTAACATGTGACGGACGTGTGAACGATTAAATGGTCGGCAGCAAATGAACCGTACTCTACAAATAAAATGGTTTTTATTCCAGGAGAGTGATAGTAACTGATATTAATAGTTGTTAGTAAAGAGTTTGGAATGTAAACAGTCTATTCAGTGCTTGAAAGAAATTAACCCTACTGAACGGAATATGACTAGAAGAACCTCCAGCTTCATCTATCTGGGAACATGATGAAGTATGTTATTAAAACTATATATTGGGTGCGCTTTTTCATTCGTTTTGGACGGGTGACAACGCTACAAGTCATCTGGCGTTCTTAATGATTTGCAATGAGTTTATGAAAGAAAAACCTGTTTTGTGGACGATTCTTGTGCAGCCTTGATCTGTGCATTATTCATCATTATTTTTAAAACAACTCTACCTATAACATTACTTTATTTTGACAATTGAATGCAGCGTAGCACTTGAGGCGCAGGAGGTGTAGTGGTTAGAGATCCTGTGAATCCTGTGATCCTGTACAAGTGCTCCCTAGTTCGACCTCACACCTTAAGAAAGCTCTCCATGTTGACGGGGGCAACAAAATGTTATCGGAAGAGACTAGAAGGGTAAAAACTGATTAAATCCATAAGTTTTCTCTTACAAGTAAATCCTGTTGGGCAAACGTAGAACAAACCGTTACTCAGCACCATTAGGAGTAAAACGCTAGTAGCACCGCTAGTGTAAAAAACCGAGAGGATTTTATAGCAAAAAACTACTTGGGAGAAAAATAAAGTAAGGCCCACGGTTGGTGTGGTGGATAGCACATGAGCTCCGGAAAGGGAAATCGCGCGTTCGAAACCAAACTGAGGTTCCGGATTTTGCTGTCTCAGCATCCATATGGTTATATTTCACATAATACCGTACTAAAAAAAATGAATACGCAGTAAATAAAAATGAAACCTTGTGGTTTTTCACATTGCAAATGAATGTATGGGTGCGACTGATACCAACTGTTGCCAAATTAGTGGCATGATAGGTTGTGTAGTACCGAATATCTGTTTTCCCTTATGAAAGTTATAGGTGTGCTTTTTTTTCATTAATGTGGTGTTCATTTCATTTATGGTTGTTCTGAAGATCATTTCAATGCACAAATCACTTCGTTCTACACTCTCATGATAATGTGTTCTTCTTGTAAAATAAGTAATCTTTTGAGCTGTTTTAAAAGAACGGTTCGAACGAGAGGTTCGAGCAATTTTTCTCACTAATCCCAACGTGGATATGAAGCCGCAGAATCTGCAAAACAGCAAAGCCAACAAATAACTGCTTCTAAAAGCGTTAAGAATAATAGGTCGGAACATTGTTTTATGATGGAGATGGCAGCTTAGAATCGGTGGACATCCGCCTATCATCACTGTCAGTTAACGCAGCGAATAGGATCTGTTTCCTGGTCAAAGTGTGACATATGACTTAATGTGGATTATCAACCAACCAATGACATTCTGCTTATTATTTAGCAAGGACAAAGCACCAAAATGGTTCTTGGTGCGAAATTTGTATCGGAGGTGAATATGGCTGCTGCTTGATAGTAAATGGAGTGAATCACTTGCTTACTTACATACTTGGGCGATCCGTCCTCACGAGTTGTGCGGACCCCAGCACATATGCCATTCGTTCCATTCTCTCGCAATCGTAGTCCATGGTGGTGGTCTTGTTCGAGCATGGTAGCGAACACTGCTTTACAGATTCTGTGGCTTCATATCAATGTTGGGATTAGTGAGAAAAATTGCTCGAACCTTTCGTTTAGACCGCTGTTTTAAAACAGCTCAAATCAGTGAGCAGTGAACAGTGAATCACTTACTGCAATTTTATTGGCGAGATCGGTATTGATGTTGGGGGAAGTTGGTAGAATGTGCAAAGAACTGCTTACCCTTCTAATACCATCACTGATCGTTCGAATTATGCTGATTCTGCTGCAAAATATGGTTTGAGTAGTAAAGCAGAAAATTTCACTCCAATATTCCAGTGGATACAAAGTGGTCGACCCGTTTCCCCAATATATTCCTCACTGCATGCGTTACATGAGATCAAGTATAGTATACCTGAAGTCATGCAATCCCTGTCTCTTCCGTTAGGACAGATCATTCAGTTTTTTGAGCGCACAAATGATCATAGAGATCGCGTTCGTTCCCCACCATAGACAGCTGCGGTCCAGAGTTTTGCAAATATCTCAGCATCGTTGTGATCATAGAGACGCTTGCGAAGTAACTGACGGAGTAACGTATTGGGTGGGATGTCAATAATCGTTACATAATTTTCAAGACCACTTTTTTTAAGCACTTCTTAATGGCGTGACTTACTTTATTTCATATGAAGGATAGCTTAAAGGGGATCTTACTGAGGTCCGAAACATTATTTTGGGGAACCACACTACGCTTTTGTCTAGTCCGAGTGGCTTCTACTTCGTAGCCATTAGAAATGGCAATTTTTCATGGCAGGTTTAGCGATGTGTCCGCATAAAAGAACATCTAGATGGGAAATTTAAAATTCGTCAAAACACTCCTCTAGGTACGCATAGGGCACAAAAGCAAAACGGCGTTGATTTTGAAGTGACTGTGCGGATCCTAGCGCAGGAATCGAAAACAGCAACTCTTGAGGAGTTTTGGATAAATTTTAAAAATCCAAAGGTGACCCGGAAAGACGGTTAACGGTTGAAAACCGGAAATATAAATAATTATATCAACTATCTATGCCAAGGTTTACAGAAAGTCGGTCTTTTGAGTTACTTAAGTAAGTGATTCATTGTAACCGTCGTCTTAGTCTGCAGGTCGCCATTATCATTGCGACCTTTTGAAATGTACTTCCTTTCGCAATGTTTATTCAACGCCGGAGTATTTCATTTAACTTTCTAAATAACATCCTTCCTCGAAATTGTTTACCGCCTCATCGTGGCTGGAAGGTGTTCCCAGGTATTTGGCTGCGATGTTCAGTGAGGGATTCATTTCCGCGGCAGGGCCTCCCATGCTGAGAAGGAGTTCAGCGTTTCCATCCGGAAGCACAGCTAACAGTAGATATTTGGATCCACCACTGTCCTGGTATCAAACTAGTTTCATGGTGGCAAATCTCCTTCTGATCCACAAGGGCGGCGACTGTCTGTGGTGGTGACAACCTGGGGCAGACTTAGACTAAGCTGACCTCGGGACAACAGAGAGCCACGGTTGCTAAGCCAGTAAAACTCTGAAAAAATAGAAATTACGCAGGCGCCATCACAACATGTTGATGTGGGCCATCCAAGTATCCAAGTAAGCATGTAATGACATTTTTAACAGAAATCAAAGGAAACTGTTCCATCTTTGATCACCATTTGGTCTCTATTTCAAAACAGTTGATAGACAACTTAGTCACTCGCTGAATAGAATTGTAATATTGGTGGTTAAATATTACTTCATTAATGCAATAAATAGATGTTTATTTTCGGCTGAAAATAGCCGAAAATAAACATCATTATCAACCTCGTGTAAGCTCATCAAAGAAAGAATACATATTGATTTGTGACACCGAGGTTCAGGGAAAATCGGATTCGAAACAATAAATAGATATTAAAAGCAATAGTAATGCAATACGCATTAATAAAGTGGATTTGTTCACAGCAACAGCACTTGGTGTTAGATTAGTTCACCTAGAAATACTTAAGAAAGTGTAGAACACACTTCCAAACTGTAATTTTTGTACTAGACCCCCTGAGAGCTGATAAGTCAAGAGACATAGTGTTTAATCATTGCGCAGTATTTTCCAATGTGACGTTGTATTTACTAGCTGATATTGATATCTTTGCAACAGTTTCGTGTTAGTAAAATATTTGATCAAGATCTTGGTCATCTAAATGCAGAATATCGATCTAAATATCCATAAACTACAAGCAATGTCAAGTGGGCTTTCTCAGGTCTACTATTGATCAGTTGACTTGCCATCAGTGCCAATAATCTGATTACCGCCATGAAATGAAAGAAAGTGCAGCAGCAGTTTTTCATGTTCGTCAACCCAAAGGAGTATTGTGTAGATGCATTTTTATCAGCTCTGCTTGATAGTAATACACTTGTGTTTTCTTTTTGTTTTAATCAAACACGTCATCAACTTGAGCGCCGCAAAGTGTTAGAAGAACTAAAAGCCTTTGCCAAAAATAAAAATAAGGCGGTAGACAGTTTTTTATATGACTGATCTTCACATCTACTGTGGGGATGTCAGCAATTCTTGCGTTCAATTTGTTTCCGCATATTTATCATCCACGAAGATCTTCTAATTTTTCATGTGTGTGCCCTGCTGATGCTCAAGGATTGCTGTCTTCTTTATGAATGTCATTGAATGCTGGTCGAGTTGATTTTCCTTCGAATCCTGGTATATCTGTGCTACAGCGTTTCTGAGTAGATCTGAAGAGTAAGTTGGGCTCAGGTCTCGACCCTGGAGGATGAGAGGGTTGATCAGTCCAGGGAGATGTCAAACCACCATCTTGCTTGTGATGAGCGACATCACTACTACTGCCCTATACGCTTCCTTTTCTTTAGTTAAAAAAGGCAAACTATACTGTGCATGCACAAAGATTCTGAGATATGAGGCATACCTGGGACCTCATTTGAGCGTCGAACCCGCGATTACCCTCTTGACGGCCAACGTGCTATCCACCCTACCAACCGAGACCCTCACTTTGCCTTTCTTTCAGCCTGGTTGTTACACTAATGCTAATATTAGCAATCACGCGTAAACGTTGGTGATTTTGCGAGTACGAATCAGCATTAAACCCAATTAAGATGAGGCTTTAGTTATAATCACAATCTTAACCGTTTTACTTTTGGGCTCCCCAGGTCAATCCCGTTGACGGGTGATTGCTGATGGCAAAAGATCGATGGAACTAACTGAGAGACAGGCGAAACGAAGGACCCGCATGGTGTGGTGGTGAACGCGTTACGCCCCGGAAAGGACAGTAGTGCGTTCGTTCTCCACCGCAGACACCTCGGTCCGGAGTTTTGCAAATATCTCAGCA